CCAGTCGGTCCCACGACTTTCTCCCGTTCATCTCCGTCTTACTAACAGTCCTTCCTTACTTCCTCCACTTTCACTTACTTGGCAGACAAGTAGCCTCTATCTCGGGAGTCTCACACACTCACTCCAGTTTCGACTTACTAGCAGAGGAAAACTATAGGTGTCGACAGACGCAGGAGAGGAGGCGACTGTCGTATCCAAGACAGGTGACGACGACGACGACGACCGACGACGACAGACGACGACGACGACGGGCACGACGACGACGACAACAGACGACAACGCACGACGAGACGTAGAGGGAAGTAAGATCCACCGAAAAGGGAGAGGGAGAAGACGTTCTACTTCAATCTGTCACAGACACGCAGACAGACAGACAGACAACAGACAGGACAGACAGACAGAGAGAGAGAGAGTACAAGACAGGAGAGACAGACAGACAGGACAGACAGACAGACCAGAACAGACAGAGAGCAGAAGCCAGACAGACAGAGAGAGGAGAGAAGACAGAGAGAGACAAGGCAGACAGACAGACAGAGAGGAGAGAGAGACAGACCAGACAGGACAGACAGACAGACAGACAGACAGGAGAGAGAGAGGAGAGAGAGCAGACAGGAGAGACAGACAGGACAAGAAGAGAGACACACACACAGACAGACAGACAGACAGACCAGACCGAGAGAGAGCAGAGACAGACCAGACAGGAGAGAGAGAGAGAGAGAGAGAGAGAGACACAGAGAAGACAGACAGAGGACAGACAGACAACAGAGAGAGACAAGACCACAGAGAGAGAGACAGACAGGGACAGACAGAGGAGTAGAGAGAGAGAAAGACAGACAGACAGACAGAGAAGAGAGGCACAGACAGACAGAGAGAGGAGAGAGAGAGAGAGAGAGACACGACAGACAGACAGAGAGAGCCGCAGACAGACGAGAGAGAGAAGACCGAGGAGAGGAGAGAGAGGACCAGACAGACAGACAGACAGACAGACAGCAGAGAGAGAGAGGAGAGAGAGAGAGACCAGACGAGAGAGGCCCCCCCCCTCATCTGACCACAACACAGCGGCCTCGCCCCGGATGTTTCTCATTGGTCTTTCTGAGGCAGCCAGGCTATTTGATTGGATTATGTTGGGGAATCCCGGGGAAACCCCTCCCGTTGGTATCAAAACATAAGTGTCCGATTTCCACCGTGTTGCCTGTGTGTTGCATCAGACTAAAACACAGTTAAATAGACATTTCCGCTGTGCTGGATCATTCCTGAGGTCGGATTTCCTTTGCAGACAGATTCCCAGAGAGAGAAACCAGAGCAGATCAACTTTAGACAACAGTTTGACTGGTTTGCAGATTTTAAAGATTTTCTCTTTACACAGAAAGAGGTGCAGCTCCTGCAGATCCTTTTTTTGTTAGTTTTTTTCCTCCCTTTTTTTGCACATTTTAGAATATGTTCAATAGCTTGTGCTCTGAATACAATAGAACTACAATCAGTTTTGAGTTGGGTCAGGAAAAGCTTAGGCGCTTCAGATTCCATCGGCCAAAAACACACTTAACAATCAGTCGAGCGAGAGAAAGGAAACATGCTACTTAAAAAGAATAGGTGAGCGGGATGCTGCAGCATGAGGGACTCTGTTTCTCCTTTTGTCACTTTCATAAAAGTAACATCACGCGTGTCTCTTTTATTTCAGACCTACAATCGTCATGGACGAAGAAAAGTGGTAAGTTTGTTTATTAAGTTTGAAATATTTGCATGAGTTTTCTGCTTGGATTTCTGCCTGGGCGTGGTCAAACCACAAGAATGCATACTGTGGCACCAACAACTAATTATAACATATTTCAATTGATTTTCTTTGTTGAGAAAATGACCTTTGTATACATATATGTGTACTTTGTGTAATACGTTGTGACTGCATTAAGCTTTATCTGGTAAAAAGAACACAATGCTTTCTTCTACTTCTTGGTAAATGCTTCACATGTAGGCTACAGTAATATTATTAAACCATATCATGCACTTCTTAGTTTTTTATGCTTTTCTTTTAACACTTCTAGTCCTTAGTGATACAAGTTCTTTATGCTGCAGTCAGTGGGTGTTTCTCAATGTTGAGGACGCTTGCTTGGTAGGACAAGTCCCTCCCAGTCACTTACATCAGAAGCGAGGCAAGAATCCTTCCTAGCCTCGGAAAAAGAAGAATTTTGGAACAGGCTTACGCAGCGTCCACACGGCGGCGTGCGTTGAAGCTTGCCGGTGAGCTTGTCTGAAACTCGACCAACAACCAATCACATGAATCTCCCGCCCCGGACACACAAGCACGCGGTTTGATTGTATAGAGCTTCTACTGCATATGATTTGATTTGATCGCCGAAGCTTCAAAAGTTGAACATTGCTCAACTTTTGAAGAGAGCAACGCGAGCAAAGTGAAGCAATGCTCCCACAATGCAGTTCGGCAAAGCGTGACGTCACCCCATTCAAAGTGAATGGGCAGAAGTTTGTGGACGGGCCGTAACGGAGCGTCCACACAGCAGCGTGCGTTGACGCTTGGCGGTGGGCGTGTCTGAAGCTTGGGGAGTCAACGCGAGCAACGCGACCAACAACCAATCACATGAATCTCCCGCCCCCGACATACAAAGCAAAATGCTAGCATTCCATGC